AGACGAGTGGTAACTCGAGATAGGAGAACAAATGTGCAACAAATCGCGGCTGAATTCAACACTGGTCGTGATAGAGACGTGTCCCAGTGGACAATCCGTCGGAACATGCGTGTTCTCGGGTATGAGAGCCGTCGCCCCACACGTGTGCCACTGCTAACACAGCGTCATCGGACAATTCAGCGTGCTTTTGCCACCAATCACCACGGATGGACACTGCAACAGTGGCGTAACGTGATCTGGTCTGACGAATCACGTTATCAACTGTTCCATGCTGATGGGAGGCACCGTATGTGGCGCACACCGCACGAAGCGATGGACCCAGCATGCCAAGTGGGCACAGTCCAGGCCGGTGGCCTATCAGTCATGGTGTGGGGTGCATTTTCGTGGCATGGAATGCGCCCCCTGGTCGTTCTGGATGCCACATTGACTGGTCAGCGGTATCTTCAGCTGCTTGGAGACCATCTCCACCCTTTTGTTATGTTTCAACAACCTGATGACATTGCTGTGTATCAAGATGACAACGCAGCCCCACATCGCGCCAATATCGCCCGTGCCTGGTTCGACGAGCATGCAGGTGAGATCCAACGACTGAATTGGCCACTTCGAAGTCCTGATATGAACCCCATTGAACGTATCTGGGATGCCCTCGACGTCAGACTCAGGGCATTGAATCATCAACCCACGAACAGGCCACAATTGGCTGCCGCTTTGCAGGATGTGTGGTGCCAACTACCTCCGGACGTGTTCCCGAGCCTTGCAGACCCACTTCCACGCCGTATCGCTGCACTCCGCAGGGCCAGAAGGGGCCCGACCAGATATTAGGTGGGTATCCCATGAGTTTTGCTCAGTCAGTGTACTACGACAACAACAATTATGATGTTAAATCAGATAGATTTTTAGACTGCCCACACACTACGGAAGCGAGAAGAATACGGGAGGCTTATTCCGTCATAATTCTGCTATCGCAAATTTTTTTTCATTACTTTTTATTTCATTCCTATTAGCTTGCATTTAAATTACAAGAAAAACGTGTTTTTTTTATCAGAAAAGGCTTCACAAATTTTTCAGAAATTTCAAATTTTAGCCCGATGCCATCTAGTTGCAATTGGCGATCAATTTGGGCAACAAGGGGCGTAGAGCAGAACTCTCTACATGCGGCAACACATCGCATACTTTCAGCGAGTGGAGAGTCATAAGAGAAAAAAGTACATTAGTTTCCGTCTTAATTTTCAAATAAATTAAAAAATTTTAAATTAAAAAACTGTATGAAACTGAAAATTACTTTGAATATATTATTAAAAGAAAACTCTGTGGTAATTTAAAAAAATATTTTTGACAACTAATTACGAAACATATTAAGAAAGGGGGAAATGTCGAAATTGGAAAGGGGAAAATATAAAAGGGGTTGTACATTCCTATATAACTGAAAAGAGGAGGATATGAAAGGAGGGAGGGTCAGGACATAGAAAGCGATCTTCTTCCCAGATGGCGTATTCGAGTGTTGCGATCGCCAATGCCGACGTTTAAAACATTCTACGTGAAATCCAACATAGTAAGAGTCCTATTGCTTTCTCATATTTGTTTTCCATATCGCACATTTCCCTTGTTTACCATTTTCTGTTCATTCAATATAATGTTTACCACATAGCCTGACAACCATGAAAACACGATTGACTGACGCTTTAGCGAAAGAATTGCTGCACCTTTCTTTTGTATCAGAGTCCTCTGAAGAGAAAGCAAGATAACCTCGAGTAACCATACTTTTCGAGTAACCATCCAATGAAGTTTTATCACTAGAAATGCAAAACAGGGTGTGATCGCTCACCAATGCTACGTACATGGCATTAGTAAACAAAGGGAAATACCATTTTCCCCATTTTGATTCTGTATTTTTGAACATTCCAATAATCTTGTCCACACCTCCCATATATTTGTTGTATTATGTATAACATTTTAATATCCTTCTTTTCTGCTCTACTCCGTCGCTTAGCCTCTTATTAGTTTCTTGGCTTATATTAGTTTTATAACTTCGTAATTTGAGAGAAGCCTTACACAGCTGTTGTCATTCCACTTGATAGCCAAAATTTCATCATTGGAATCGAAAGCGTAGTCAAATGTTCCACGTTCTTTTTTCCTTATCTCTTTCTTTGTTGTGATATGACAATTCATTCATTCTATTGAATCAAACGGTTCCTGTTGTCCTAACGCCAATTTCCATTAAATGTTTCATCAGAGAAATGTCTGTGGCGAAATTGTCAAAGTCAACTGTATGAGTACTAGCATTCTCAAGAGTTGATAATATCTGAAGTACAACTGATTCCTAAAGTCCACTGATGCTTTCATGATCTACTAATTTCTTTCATACATTTTGCTTTGATAACAATAACCAGTCTATGAGCAGCAGATAGCCCATTGTTTGTAGCTAAACCACACGGACTCTCCACGCATAAATTTTTTCATATAGTGGTGCCTATAGTAGCGAACCATTTGTTAGTCAATGCTCAGATTTTCAGATAACACTTTTTCATTCAGTTTTTCAATCAATGGGCGAATCCTGAAGAGGTTATCCCGTTCACTTAGTGGATTCATATCGAGATCAGAGTTGTCACTAATGTGAAGGTACCACTTAATTTCCAGATATCTGTTCCGAACTTCCGACTCATGCATGCTCTAACGCACGTGATTCTCATGTCTTTTTCCTCACTCCAATATAATACTCTCGCTGAAGGGAATGATAGCCAGGGTAAAGAAGTATTCCAATAAATTTTTTACCCTGTTATTAGCTGAAAATTATGATTGTTTTTCTGTCTGGAATATATAACAGACTTATGAACAACATACAGTCCCTAGCCAAATAACTGGACTTTTTATAAGATTCTGTATGAAATCTTAATTATCAGGTGATACTATATAGCAATATTGCTTTTATGCGGCTGAAACCGATTTACACTTGTTTATGTTCGTGTATCAATTGGTTAACATTGTAATGCAAATATGCAATACATTCAAAATAAAAACAAATAGAAGGCATATAAAATATATTTTGAAAAATACCCATTACATGTTCAAATATAAAATTATTGCATATGAACTCGTGCGAAACATGTAGTTATTAAAACACTACAGTGAGTGTAATAATGTGGTTTAATTATTATAATATACTAATATAATACCTGATATAATAAATATTCTATGTTTATATAATATATCGTCTAATTTATCCAATCGTTGAATTTGTATTATATATCGTCCACTTTAACCAATTGTTGCACAATCGTAAACAAATGCAAACAGGTTTCAGTAGCGTAAGAACAATAAAGCTGTATAGTATCACCTGATAATTAAGATTTTACATAGAATCTTATAGTGGATCTAATTATTTGACCAGTGACTGTAGGTGGCAGTTTCATTATCAAACAGCTTTTCAGAACATTCTACTGGAGATTTTCCCGTGAGTTTTTGAATGACATTATTTCTTCTCACCTCTATAACCTCAGTACTTTTTAAATATATTAGAGAATTCAGACTGCTTATTTTTCCAATTGGAAAACAAAGTTATTTTTCACTTCTCAGATGGTGAGCTGGTATCTAGTGTTGCTTCATTTGATGAAGACTCAAATGGACTCTCTAAAAAAGATTTCTTTAATCCTACCACACTATGAATTTTAACACAAGCAGGAACATCAAGCGTTTCTTCATAAATAATTATGATATTATCCATGTTCGCATTACCTGAAATTTATATCGCCTACCGAAGACTCCCCGTGTACAAAATGGTGACTGGTGCACGCTAAATATGTCAGGATCACAAAGTTCTCCGAATTCCCATACCCGTAACAAATCAAATGAGTACTTTTGTGATATTGAATCGGAGATTTATCGTGCTCTGTTTCTGGTCAAAATTATGATCTGCGGATGGATAGATGGTATGTGAATGCGTCCTTTCTGTAAAACCGGATTTGACGAATATATGTTGTATCCGGATCATTCTCAGAGATGTCTCTCAGACCGTCACCAACAGCCCATTGTGCAGCTCTAGTGCGACGTAAATAAAAGTACATTTTTTGCCCGACTCTTTTAAGGTCGGAGACAAATTTAATTAGATGAAAGTTAGGCTGCAGATTGACTCTGTAAATTCTGCTATTACATATAGAGGAATTAAAATTAGTTACACCCAGTTAAAGGAGCCCAAGCTCCAGTTATATATTGGTCATAAGGTTATATAAAAACATATTGTTATGTAATCATAAGTTTTTTTTTTTATCCTATAAGATTAAAGCTGTGATTTCATGCAAATCACATCATCGAATACACAATAAAAATTTAGTTTTTAGACGATAGAAAATTATTTTACCGAAAAATATTAGAAAAATTAACAACGGGAACAAATAACATAGGTATTTTATTTACGTCACACTACAGCTGAGCTATGGGCTATTGGCGTAGAAAAATTAATAACGGGAACAAATAACATAGGTATTTTATTTACGCCACACTACAGCTGAGCTATGGGCTATTGGCGACGATCTGGGAAACATCCCTGAGGAGGATCTGAAGACATGCCATCACAATTTTGGATACTCTGCAGAGGGGATAACTGCTCCGCTTTGGTAGCCTGACGACCTGGAAGCGAATTCGAACACTTTACGGTAGAACTGTTATCTGCTAGTCAAAGTGGACGCCCACCCGCTTATTGACTGCAGTCAGTTATGCTTACCTTCGGTGTTCTACTGCAAGTGGATCAGTCCACAGCGGGATGTGAACAAATAACATTCATTTCAATCGTCTCTACAACTTGTAAGGACCATTCTCTTTGCAGGCGATTTTTAGCAAGAAAAAAAAATATCGTCCACGAATTCGAACCGAATGCAAAAAATTGCACCCGAATGAGAACCGGATTGGAGGAATATTTAACCATGAAAAATTGACCAATATCAGATTCGATGTGAATGGCCCTTTAGCCAATCAGAGCACGTTTTGATAAAACACCCAAAATACAGTAGATCGCTGTACTTTTGCAATTGTAACTTGGTCCTATATTGTATTTCTTTGTTTCGAACAACTCTACTTCACTCCTTTGAAAACAGCGACTAGCATTTTCGCTAGTACTCCAAGTTTCTAGAAAATTATTAAGTTGAATCATTGTTTAAAATAACGCCATGGCTGATTCTAAGTTATACGATTTATTAGGAGTTTCAAGACATGCAACTGATACAGAAATTAAAAAGGTAAATAATAAAAATAAGTTTCTTTCTTAATTATTATTCTCATTAGATTAGCCTAATATCTGATAAATTTCCTCGTCTATTAAAAATAATTGCAATCTGCTATTCATATTTGCGATATTTTTATTATAAATTGTTGTTTACTCTTATATTGCATGTGTTATTTTATATCCTAATGAAAGATTTCTTGACCATTCAAGGTAAGAAATGAGATCTAATCGCATTGTTGATTATCTTTTGTCCCCTTAAAATCCATTCTATTCAATTCCTCCCATTTAAAGTTTTAGTAAGTAAAGTTTGTTGTTTTTTTTTATAGAAATTTCCTTTTGGCAAATTTCAATCTAAAATTTTTCGTATTTTGATTATTGGTTTTAAAATATTTAAGAATTAACCTATGTTACGCAGTGTGATCATTCTTGAGTCACGTGGACGCACTTGTACTTTCCTTTTCAGAATTTATATAATCATTTTGTATTTTACCAAGCTCTTAATCTTGTTCTTGTGCATATTTAAATATTTTAGAAGTAAAATAACTTCAAATTCTATGTGGAAAATATAACTATCATATCTTTTAGCTTTTATTTTTTTACTATTGTGACTTAAAGTTAGTTTTATTTAATTGTTTACATTAGAACTGGGATTTTACCAAGAACTGTAACTATTCAGTCTAAAAGTCTGTTTATAGCAATTGTATGTGTAACTAATATATCTAGGCAGATTATAAGCTGTTTGCTTATAATCTTTTGAGTTTGTTATATTTAATAGTTTAATTCTAGAATTCATTTCATTAATTCTTCATAAATTAATCATGTATTGTTGTAATCCTCACCTTTTTCGCATTGTAAACTATCTTCACACTATTTCTCAGTGTTTTCATCGCAGAAAAAAAATGGGTGAGAATTTCTCACCCTTTCTCAAAAACAGGGTGAGATTTCAAAAAGTTAAGTGAGAAAAAAAAATAATTTCTTTAATTATAATACATTTTTAACATCTTCTAATTCTTAAAGCATTGAATATTTTTGCTGCATCATCATATGGAAAATGTTCTACATCTACTTTTTCATCAGCTATTCTCATTAGGTTGCTCAAATGCGTATTTGTTTCGTTTTGATCGTTTCTACCCACATTTGTTTCATTTTCATTTGTCCGTTTCGGAGTAGAAGATATTGGCTTTACAAGGTATTTGTCCATCTTACATTAACGAGCAAAAAATTTGAACGTCTTACATGAAGAAACCTTACCTACGGTAAACACGTGGTTGCAGAGAAATGCGTTCTGAAAGAGGTTCCGAGGGATGGTGTTCTGTTGTTCTTAAAGGTTCTGAACAATACTGGTAAATAGGGAAGCTAGATAATGGGGCAGATGTTGAAAATAATGAAAGATCCAGGAAGAAAAGTGAAACAGATTTCATTCTAAATGGCGCAATGAGAAATTTTTTTCAAAATGCAAGAAATTCGCGAATTTTGAAATTGCTTTATAGAATGCGCGTATTTCTCGCGGTAATCATTTTTTAATGCGAGAAAAGAAAAAAATATGCGAGATTCTCGCGTTCTCGCGCTGTAGTGAAAACACTGTTTCTACATTGAGTTCAGGGTCATATAATGATGTAATGCTAAAAATCTCTTTTATTAAAGTTTATTATCAGAATATTTTTTTAATATAATTAACATATTTGTAGTAGCATGCTGAAATCTGCCACATTCTAGACATTCTATTTTTAGCTGTAACTCATCAATTATTTTGTTTAAATTGTAGATTTTATAATATTAAAATACTGTAAGAAAGGTATTGTATATTTTCAAAAGTAAGGTTTGAGAATTCTTTTTCTCATAAAATATCAGCAATTATTTTAGCGTAGCCTGCGCTATTAAAACATTATACGATGTAAAAGAAAAAAAATATTTTTTTTATTATTTTGCATTTTTATTTTTAGTCAACAACTAAAATGTTCAATTACAGTGTTTTGAAGTATTCAAATGTAAAATTAATATCTTTGTTTAAAAAATAAATATGGTAAAGAAAAGATTGATGTATATACGATAGTTTTCAGGGTCTTAAATAATCTGTTGATTTTCATTAATAGGGTATAACAAATTTAAGGTCAAGTAATATTTTAAATGCAAGATTATTTATATTTTCAATTAAAGAATAATATTAACCATAAATTTAGTAAAATATCTATAAAAGAGGTTCTATTGGCTCCATTGGCAGAAAGTGTAAAAACAGTTTTGAAATATAATTTTGTTGATAATTTAACAAAAAAAAAAATCATTTCTGGCAAATTTGGAAAAGAAATTTCAGAATAATGTTGTTCAAAAAGCACAGAATGCATTAAAAATAATCAAAAGCTTTCTTGTATTTCCTAAGTGAGAAAATTCAAATATTTTAAAATTCGGATGTGATACTTCCCATATTAAAGTGATTTAATGTGAATTTATCTAACAGCTTTTATCTTACTTTTTTTTAATTATGAATTTGATTTCTTTCTTTAATTGATAATTTAGTTTTGCTAGACTGATATTTAGATAAGATAAAAGATTGTTCACCTAGTTCAGTACTTATTCTATACAAATCTTTAAAAGTGAAGCCAAGTTTTAACTATAAAATTATTTTTATTCCCTAAATTTATAACTTAGGCAACAAATATTATTTTAAAAATTAAAATATCTATGTATATTATTCTCATGAATGATTAAAATTGCGTAAATGAAACCAGGGTTAATGTTATGTCGTGAAACTCGTTTTTGGACAAGAACAAGATATGTGTAATCTATAATCCTATGTATATACCTGTCAGTACTTAGAAATAATTTAAACCTCACTTTTTGAAATATGTTTTTTTGCTCATAAAAATATACTAACAATTTTGCCAAGTTTGTAAGTTGTATAAAAATCTGAATTATTGAAAAACAAATGCTGTTGAAATATATTTCTCACAATTCTTTTTTTTTTTCAGTCTTACCGTAAACTAGCTAAGGAATATCATCCAGATAAGAATCCCACTGAAGGAGAAAAGGTAATGTTTTACTTCAAAGAAAAGTTTTAATTTTTTAAAATGAATCTTTATTAATATTTGCTTCATTTCAGTTCAAAGAAATCTCGTTTGCCTATGAAGTATTATCGGATCCCAAGAAAAGAGAAATCTATGATCGACAAGGAATTCAAGGATTACAAGGTGGTTCAGATGGTAAGTCTGAGATTTCAATTTGTATGTGTGTCTGGTTTGTCCGTGTGCAATGCTATTAATCTCAAAATATGTTTAACTTTATGTATTTATTTATTTTTTTCTTTCTGTTTTCAAAGCTTTGAAAATTGTTATTTTTCTTGGCAAATTTAGATTCCATGAATGGTTAAAATATTTTGTAGGGTCTTATGTCTATTTGAATTTTATTATTTAAGGTTTCATATTTTCAAAATTCTATGCAAAACTTATACTTTCTCACTATTGCATGCTTTCCTTTCTGGGTTAAATTTTAATAATTTATTTATATTATTGTAAATTGTACTTCAAGGGCTCCAAATCTTAAATTTTTTTAAACGTTATAGTAATCAGGGGTCTGTCCAGACTAAATTTACTACCGTTTAGCAGTACCTTCACAAATTCAACTTTAGAAAAAACGGTAGTTTCGCATAATACTTTTTCTTTAAAAAAAAATTTTGTATCTCATAAGAAACGATAAATCCACATTTTTACCATATTTTTTGTATTGATTTTTTACTATAATTTTTAATATTTACAAATTATATCTAAATTTTCACAAAATAGGTACCTCTCAGAAAAACCTAGACAGACCAGGGTTCCCACGGGTCAGGGAAAACCTGGAATTGTCGGGGAATTTTATTTCAACTCCAAAAATCAGGGAAAGTTGCAATTATTTTACAAAAAACAGGAAAATTCCTACATTATACCTGGAAAATAACCAGTCTTAAAATTGTCAGTAACAGTACTCAGTTATTGAGATTCGAGCTAGATAATTCTAGCATCTATTACAATTATTTATTATAAAAATTTCACATTTTAGACTAACTGAAATGCTTCCTTCCTCATATAATGATATTTATTTTATGCAGAAAATCTAATACTTGGCATAACAAATAAAAGAATGAAAGTTTTCTGATGAAAAATTTTGCAGCACAGATAAAATATGGTATAGATTTTCATTGAAATTTACCTGATATACCTGGAAAAGTCATGGAATTTTTTTTCTGATATTGAGTGGGAACCCTGATAGACCCCTGGTAATGCATAATGTTTGTCATGCATTTAATTAATATCAATTTGGTCATTGATTATTTTTCAGGAATTACTGCCCGGATTCCAAAATAGATTCCTATGATTCTATGTGCAAACTCATGTGGTCTTGTTTATCACCAATTAATGGCAATGAATTTCCACCTGCTTTTTAAACTTTAAATCTTTTTAATATAGTATGTGTGCAGCATATGAAGTTAATCTTGAATTGTTCTTTAGAGTAATAATTTTTTAAAGTGCTTGACTTGTGAAGATTTTATTCTAAATCTGAGCGTATTTAACAAGCATGTGATTCTTCTTCTAATTTGCTGAACTCCGCGAGTCTCAAGGCCATCGATTCACGGACTTCCGCTAAGCAATTTATATTCTGACAAAATTTTCTCAGAATTCCGCTAATCTGAAGCTTAATTTATGTTACACAAAATCTCCTTAATGAGGCATTACCAGCACCCTCTTTTTTTTTTCTAAGTTCTCAGTTTTACGTTGATTTGTTTGAGAAAAATGAAGCTTTGGATAAATTTAGACGAAAAAGATTCCATAATTAGTTTGTCTAGCATTAATAAATTACTGAGGCAATCACAAAATATAATAATGGTACGTAATGTTTAAATTAAAGTAATTCTGAAATGGACAAAAAAAAAGATTGTTCACTAAAAAATAATTAGGTTTTCCTTTTTTTTTAAAAAAAAGAAACGACTTGTAACAATGAAATTGTTTCATCAATGTGGTTTTTTTTAATCCCTTTTTTATTTGGCTACAATTAGATCAAATTAATTTTAACATGATATTACGGCTGGGAGAACTCAAATCGCAACTTTTAGTAATCTCTTTTTAATGTGGGGAAAACATTGAAATCAGTGTTTCGATCTTATTAGGTATAGTGAAAAAAAATTTCTTTAAATTTTGTGTGTGTTACTTTTAAGCCTAAGAGTGACAAGCTTTTTAAATATCTTCTATGTGCAAGAAAAGAAGATAAAAAACAGGTACTAAAAAAAAGAAGAAAAAAAACTATACATTGAGGAAAAATTTCAGATATTTTCTTCCAGCAAGCACATGTCTGATCTACTTTTTCTACAGTATTAAAGAATAATGAACATTTCACATAAATGTTATAACATTGTGATAAATATATTTTTTAAATACGATTACCTGAATGATGGAATAGATAAATGTTTTAAGTCTTACTTTGAGTATCAAGACCAGTATCTATGTGTATGATTTTGGCAGGATTTGTTAATGACTTAGCAACTAATGTAACCATTGTGGTGTGATCCCTAATATTATGGTTGATCCACTATCTATGTTGAGAATTTATTTGTATTAAAGTGAATTTTGTCCATTCAAGTTATTTATAGTGTCTTTTTAAATTATATATTTATTGTTTTTATATGTTGTGTGTTTATAAAATGCACCGGATATTAATTAGGCATCTTATTTAACTAAATAGATGAAAATGTATTTTTTCTTGACATCCACTATTATTTTTCTTATTTTTATCCTCTTACCCAATTGTTTGCTGCAAAGTAGTTAACGCTTACACTTAGCAAAAGATTAGCGTGAGCGAGGATGACATATATTTGCTCGTGGTGATTAACTATTGCATCTACATTTTGAAACTCCAGAAAGGTACATTTTTGTTTATAATTTTAGGTGGAATGTCTGCTGATGACCTGTTCAGTCATTTGTTTGGAGGAGGTCTATTTGGTATGGGGGGTATGGGAGGAAGCAGGCGACGCAAACATGGAGAGGACACTGTTTATCCTTTAAAGTAAGATAATATCTTGTATTGTCATTAATTCTTAGTTATCTTTCTCAATCCATTAGCAAAATTTTTATTTTTCTGTGCGTGAGGATTTTTATAAGTACTTGTTTAATGTGCGTTTTGTTTTTGTTTATAATAACCCTAGTTGTTCTGCTTTATTTATTTTTATTCCCAAGGTGTTAATATATCACTCATGTGATTATTGATTTAAAAAAAGAAAAATGTTGTTAACTAGACAAAATTGTAGCATTTTTTGGAAGGTAACTTGAGAATTGAGTTTATTGTAAGAATTCTAAGTTACCTAATACCAAATGTAAAACATTATTGTAATGAAACATTGCAAGGTTTTAAAATATTGAGAGATTTTAGAGTAACAATGCTCCACATTCTTGACCCTTAATGACAAAATTTGAAATAGACTGCAGTATCGATGTTACGACAGGCAATTGCAAATATTTGTATCAGAACTTACTCATAATTTTATATTACATGTGTATTTTAGCATTATGTTAAAATTTAATTTTGCCAACCTTAAAATACAGCAGTTAAAGGTGTGGAGTACAGGGCAAGACTGAGTAGCCACTTCTTTCTCTCGGCTGGTCTTGAAAAAATATTCTGTTAAATAGATTATTGCAGATCATATTTTAAGGGAAAATAACAGTTAAAAAAAAGGATAATAGGTTCAACCTCAGTCTTGTTTTCTCGTAAACATCTTCTAATTTCTGTATCAGAAGGAGATATAATAACTAACTCTGAAGAATTAAATCTCTTAACCAAACAGAAAATGGTAAAAAACTAAGTTAGCTAAATCTGAAAAGATGTTGGAACAAACTTTTGATACAATGGGGCAGAAAAAGCCAAGGGTCATCCCAGACAATAATAAAGAAAAATATCCTTTCATTAAATAGATTGAAAAAAAGGTTGGGATAGAATTTTATTGGGCTTTAATTTAGCCTATTTAAAGATTCCTCAAAGGGGATTCATTATCTTAAACAGAGTTTTTCCCAAGGGATTAAAAAAGGCAAGACTCCTTTCTCTTAGAAAAGGGCACTCGCTTAACGCCGTAAGAAATTATCAAAATGTGTAATATTTTGTATTGACTGAATTTGGTCCTACACAATTTTTAAAATACCTTTTTATACAATTTTAAGTATGTATTAAAAAAAATTTCATTATAAGAAAAAGGAGAAAAATTTAAAGCTTATAATAATGGCTAAAAGAAATTTTTTGCATACCTTTTTAAAAAAATGTGAATTAAAAGAATTATTGATTGATAAACAACTTACACCTTGAAAGCTTTTTTCTGTTTTTTAAGCTGAAAATTAATTATGCGAAAATAAGTTTTTCGAAGGGTTCATTTTTTAAAGGAGTTTTCTTTATAAAAATTGAGTTGGTTATGAATAATCCTTACAAAGTGAATATTCGTAATAGTAATCAGAAATAAACCTATATTTACCAGTGTGTAATTATTTTATTATTTACCAGTGTGGTCCTTTTTTTAAAAAAATAAAATACCAATAAAAAGGCAGTGTTTTTAAGTGGGTATTTAAGGGATGAAGGTTTTTAAGGGGTTTTTGCTATGAAAAGGGCAAAGATGGCGCTTCTATGGGGATCAAAGGGCAGGCAGGGCAGAGGTAGTCATTTTATTTTATTTAGTCTCCATGGCTGCGGCCGATTTTGCTCTTTAGTTAGGGGGCTTTTTGTCTTATTAGTTCATGTTACTACAAGTGTACCCCTCTGTATTATTATGCTTCCAGTGTTATGCTGAGTATTCAAAACTTAACTCATATTTTTATGTTTTGTAGGGTAACATTAGAGGATCTCTACAACGGGAAAACATCCAAATTAAACCTCAATAAAACTGTTATCTGTAAAGCTTGTGATGGGTAAGTATTTATTAAAATTATTTCCTGTTTGTCTTTGCTTGTTCTTATTTTTTGTTCATTTAAACATGTTATGAAATCATAGAGGTGTAATCTAAGTAGGACATATCTTGCCAGAGTCAATTTAAAAGGAAAATTTAGATTTTAATTTTATACTTTTTAAATTTTAAACTAAAGCAGTTAAAAAATTAGGAAAAAAAAACCGTTTTGATTTTTTTTCTTCTCTCACCTGGATTAGAAGAAATCCATTTGTGAGTTTTTTTTTTCATTGTCAAAGGAACTTACCAACCCTGTCTTTAATTTGTTAGGAAATTAATAATATTATTTTAGATTTTTGTTATATACTGTTAACAAAATTGAGCTATATCCGCTTGGTAGAAATTTATGGTAACTGGTAGTTTAAAAAAAAAAAAAGTTTGAAACTTAGAAATGCTTATAGTGTAAATAAAAAAAATTGTTTTTCTCCACAGATTGGGTGGAAGACCAGGTGCAGTTAATAAATGTACAGCTTGTCATGGACGTGGTATCAAAGTGACTTATCGTCAGTTAGGGCCTGGTATGGTACAGCATATGCAGTCAGCTTGCTCTGATTGTAATGGTGAAGGTATGGTTATGTTTTTGATTAATAAATTAAAATCTATTACTTTACAGATCATACCCAACTCTCAACTCCAGAATAAATTTGAAACTGTGTAAACATTTTTGTGAGGGGGGAAAAGTTTTCTAATGTGTTGATAAAATTCCTCTAATGAAAGCAGCTTATTTATTTATGTGAAGTAATGTTATATTAATCTTTCTAACAATTCATTTACATGTATTTCAGTTTGTAATGTATATTGTCTCTTTGTCTACTTAATTAAGTAGACAAAAAGACAATAAACACTTTATATATGTATGTGTGGGCTAGAGTTGTTATCGACAATGTCAACCTTCATCTATGAAAAGGTACCACACTATAGTGTGCTGGAAATAGTAGTAACCTTGGCCTTTGGCGCGAAGCGCCGCTTACCGATTCATCGAATCTGTAGTAGTCCTAACTTGAAAAATCTAAATTTCAAGGATAAATAAATTTAGGAGTACGTCACAGCTAAAAGCTGTGAAAGTCATGTGTGTAGGTGACTTGCAGGCTGTGGAAAACCACATCAGTTCTGTGACTCGGGGAGAAGGGAGCGGAGGAAGTTCCTCGTCTTTCAGTAATTCTTTCATTTCTTGGAAGAGTCTGAGAAATCTGGTACCAGAGTCCGTGGCATTCTTAGGTTTCCTTTCTTTAGGGAGCTTCCTGGTTCTTGCACCGCAGCCCGAAAATCAGGCTGGGTGCTCACCATTACAGTTGACGCAGGTCGCCGGCTTTGTGGGTGGCTTCGTACATTCGTACGAGAAGTGGTCTTTAGCACATTTCATGCAGGCGGGAACAGTGGCTGTGCAGCTGCGCTGAGTATGTCCAAACTTTAGGCATTTGTAGCATTGGACTTGAAATTTTCCACCTCTGAAACGCTCTACCTTTACAGGTCTCCCAAGGATCGAACTAATGTTGAAGATATTTCGGCTCGGGCTTGAATCCAATTGGATGATGAGGAAAAGTGGGACGGGCCTAAGCTCCCGCCCACTTCTTTTCTTGAGCTGCACTATCTTTTCTGGGAAAAGTCCAAAATCTTTGAGATATTTTTCCAAAACGGAAATATCTGTATCACTTTTCAGGCCTCAGATGAGGGCTTTCTGTTCGGAGAATTGTCCAAGTTGTTGGCGGAAGTAGTGATGAGGGAGTACCGATGCGGTATTCTCCTCACTCTCGTTTTTTCTCAGAGGGGTCTTGAGATTCAGTAGTATCCATCATGGTAACAACTGGGTTCTCTGAAGAAACTTTTTCACATTCAGGAATCTTAGGCATCTTATTGGCACAAAATATTTCTCTGTATACTTCGCAGTCACCTCCACAGACATTGTCGAGGTAGTAATGATACTGTGGTTTGCTTGTGTCCATAGATTCATCCCCTGTCATATTTCTCACTTGTCTGATTTCTTCTAATTTGAAGTTAAACTCTCTATAGAAGTCAATTATCATGCAAAGATCAAAGTTCACTGGAGGTAGATATTTCAGTGGGATACTGAAGTCATCAGATAAATTAGCGAGAAACGATGTATCGCTTTCTCTGTCAGATGCGTGAGTGTGGGCGGCAGGTAAGACCTTACCGCCGCGTGCTTATCGGCGTGATTCGTGAAGAGCAATAAAAAAAATACGCCCGTACTCCTCGAAGGTCAGGGTCGGTGATATACTAGTGAATTGGAGTTGTAATTTTATGGTGGTAGATACGCTACATTACTCCCCCACCTGAATTATAGCTGTGATAGAATTCGATACATGGATACTACTAGTTGCTGTATTTGTGACAGACCGGGAGAGCTGTATTAAGATCATGGTCCTAGTCGCTCCTGTGTTGCCTTTAGCAGTCGGGTGTATGCAGGTTGACGTGTGCGATCAGAGGAGACTGAGTAGCAACAAGAGGTGGATAATGGCACAGTCACAAGTAGCAGGTCAACTGTTCCAGTGGACCATCCATCGAAGTAGGTGTGTTCACATCAGGTCCGAAGGTCACCAATGTGGGCTAGAGTTGTTATCGACAATGTCAACCTTCATCTATGAAAAGGTACCCCACCATAGAATCGGGTTAGCATGTCTTATATACTAGTGAATTGGAGTTATGATTTTGTAGAGGTAGATACGCTACCTATGCAATATGAGCTTTTAAGTATGGATTGGTAAGAAGGTTGTGTTAGATCACATATTTAATTAAATGTGTTATTTATTTATTTCAAAGCTAATGAGAACAATATGCTGATTGTAAACCAGGTGAAGTAAACAATCTTTAAAACATAAATAGCTGATAGAAGGCTGTTAAAATAAGAGTAAAAAGAGTTAAGCTTTACAGAACAGTAAAAAAAAAATAAAAAAAAAAAAATCTTCAAACTAAAGATTCCACTTAGCAAAATAAAAGCATCCTTTTCAAACATATCACTATCTGTCGATGCTACCTTTATTTCTGCTTTGTGTAATAATATTTCTTAGAATAATGGAACACATAGGCGCACAATGCTGAAACATTAGACAGTTAAACAACAAAAGGGAGAAAAAAATTTAAATGGAAAACTGTGTATCAGTTGAATGGTTTTGGGTCAAATATACATGTATTTTTATCATAAACAGGGATGAGATTCTTCCGCAAATTCGCGGATTTCCGCTTTTTTTTTTTTTTTTTTCAGATTTTTCCATTTTTCCCGCTGAAATTGTTTTTTGCACAAGTTAAAATATTTTATGAGGAATATAATTTTCCGCGGTGCGAAATTATTGAAGTCCTTATTCCTCCCTCTGAAGTTTCTCTAAAAATCATTTCCTTGGGATAAAACTGGTTGGTCTTTATACAGGGATGAGATTTTTTTTTGTCTCTCGAATTTCAGCCTTTTTATCAAAAACTCCGATTCTCTAAAAGTTTCGTTTTTTTAAATAAATATCCCGTTTTTTTTAAATTCAGTCATTGAAGTAAAATAATTATATTTATTTACGATTTTCAAAGATAAACAGAAAATTCAATCTACGCCCTAGCTGCTAACCCTTCCGCATTTTTACTTATATTGGCTATTTTCTCCGATTTCACGCACAGAAAATAAGATTTTCCGTAATTCTGACGTCGCTGCTTCTTGTATTCTGGCGTGAAAACAAAAAAAAAGAGAGAACAGAAATAGAGGTGTATTTGCTGTGAAAATATTTATTTGCTCATTCAATTAATCTTGCAAATTTTTATTTATTGTGTCTAGACAAAAACAATACAAACAAGCCTTTTAGAAAGCCCAAGTCCAGACTCTGCAAATATCTCGATTTCTATTAACGATTTTAATATCAATCATCGATTTTCGTATTTACCTGATTTAAAAGTTGGACGTTGCGATTCTTATTCAGGCGATTTAAATATTGTACATTGCGATTCTTACTTACGAGATTTAAAAAATCAATATCGCGATTTGTATTTACGAGCTTTTAAAACCCTACGTAGCAATTCATATTCACGCGAGCTTAAAATCCCATGTCGTGATTCGTTTTTGCAGATGTAATATCGCACAATTTAAAAATTATGCATCGTGATCTAAAAATTAAAAAATCATGATTTGTATTCTCGCATTTTTTAAATTCGATGTAGAGTTTCATATTTACGTGATTTAAAAGCCTCATATCGGGATTTATAATCACATGGTTTACAAGTTTAAAAATCGCACTTTTTTTGTCAAATGTTTGTTTATATATGTATATATTTATTCTTGGAT